TAGTAGGTAGAAGTGTCCACAACAGACTCAATTAGAGAGTGGACACTACAACAATCTGACACTACAGGAAGTTAAAGTAACATTATTACGTAATGTTATAGTGAGTAAATAGACTTAATTTGAAGTGGAACTGAAAATACTTCCGTTTTTAATGACCAAAGAAATTCATTGCTGCAAATAGTAGATAAAACCAAGTTTGCATAGACTATTAAATACTTGGATATTTTCTTTGGTTTTCGGTATTCGAGTCAAAGAAAAATTCAGAATTTTCAATGCTGATTGTCAAAGCAAAAAGTTTATATCTGAAAGATTCATTCAACACGATCTATTGACCTACTTTATTCCCATTTAACGATCTTGCGAACAATTTTAAACTTAATAAATATCAAGAAGCATATGGAAGTCTGGCACTACACAATCTTTCTATCCTGTACTCCCATCCGTTTTGCCTTGTACTGAAATTGCAAACTTAGTATATATCTATAAAATGCAATTGTAGCATAAATTGCCTAAGTAATAACTACTTTAAGAGTCGACGAATGAATAGAATCAAATCGAATGAAAAGAACTGATTTTCCGACATCCTTTCACTTCTTTAAAAGCCTTAATCGATTCACAGACAGATAATATTTTGGACAATGAAATTACTTTTATTAAAAGTCTTAGAAGTAAATAAACTTAGGTACTTCATTATTACATTTGCCGCTTTCACTCGTGATCGAAAATTTAGACAGCAGCCATTACAGGCAGAATGGGAAAATCTTGTTCAGAAAATAAGCATCACAATTGAAAGAATTTCTCTAAGATGAGGATAATTCCTCGACCAGAAATGCTTCCTAATTCTTTTGGTCCACTTTAAAGTTGAACAGACCTAAGAAATGAAATAGTCTTCTGTCGTTTTGATATTAAAATTCGTACGGCAGCAGATCAATTTGGTCAAAATGACTAGAAAAATTCCGAGGCTTAATCTTCAAAATTGAGTTGAGCTGCTTGCCTTAAAAATGATTATTCGAAATTCTGGTTTAAGCTTAGACTTGATCAGTGACCTCTGGAAGCAACAAGCAATTCGTATCTATCTTAGGCTTGAGGCAAAATCTAATATTAATCTCTTTTTGAATGGCGTATTGTGATGTTATTTCATAAAATGACTGGAGCGAATTTTAAATAGTGTCCCAATTTATTGGGATTTTTTTAGTAAGACAATACGCAAAGATCTTTAGGCTTGTGTTTACAAAGAATTGGCATATAAATAGTGCAAAGAACTTGAGAGAGGATTTTGCATTTGTTCCCTTTTTTCTAAATAGAAGTCAACTTGTTTAATCTTTTATTCTCAAGTTTTTCCTGTTCTATCAAAGATTGAAATTACCATTCCGTGTTGATAGTGTCACATTAAAAATGTGCAGAATCCTTACTTCTTGATTTGAGAATCCTAAATATATTCTGCTGAAATGGTAGGCAGCTAACCAAACCGACCAACATGATTTAAATGTTAACATTGTAGTTTACAGGCTCTACCTGCAGGTGCGCAGTGTAGTTGGGGATGCTTCAGAATATGAGGTTAGTAAAAGGGGATCAATGTCAGATAACTTCAATATCAGTATCTGTCTATATTTCTGAGATGAGGTATTATGTACACTATTTACATTATTCGGACTACTGTCCTCATCTTTGTCATCATGTTTATCACAACATTTCGGCCCTTCAGTATCTGTCTATATTTCTGAGATGAGGTATTATGTACACTATTTACATTATTCGGACTATTGTCCTCGTCTTTGTCACCATGTTTATCACAACGTTTCGGCCGTTGTACGCTCCGAACTTCTTCAGGCGGTTGGAATGTCGAACTGAACCCTTTAAAGTGGATAAAGGCGTTAGTTAGATCTAGTGACAGGACCCAAAGAGTGTGAGTTCAATACGCGGTTAAGGCAGTGGAGAACTTTCAGAGGGGAATTAACAGGAGATAACTGACATCCATTAGACATGGCACGTGGAACTAGAACAGTCTACCCCAGTGAGCGAAATAAAGAGTTCAGTTCGACATTCCAACCACCTGAAGAAGGCCGGGGCGTACAACGGCCGAAACGTTGTGATAAACATGGCGACAAAGATGCGGACAATAGTCCGAATAATGTAAATAGTGTACATAATACCTCATCTCAGAAATATAGATAGATACTGAAGAAGGCCGGAGCGTACAACGGCCGAAACGTTGTGATAAACATGGCGACAAAGATGAGAACAATAGTCCGAATAATGTAAATAGAACTTCAATATCAGTTGAAAATACATTAATTTAAACATACCTGTGTTCCATCGCCAATAAAGAGAGAAAAGAAATGAAAAATGATGGACAGAGAGATAAAAAGAAAGAAAGACAGAGGAAGAAAGTGAGCAAGAGAAAGATAGATGGAGGGAGAAAGATTGTGAGTGAATGGCGAGGAGAGAGAAATATAAAGGGAAGAAGAAAGAGAAGGTTAGAAAGTAAGATGAAAGGAGGGGTGGAAAGAAAGAGAGAGGAAAAGATGGATAGACAGAGCGAGTAAGAAAGAAAGAACGACAGCAGGACGAAGAAATGTTGAAGGATAATCAGAAAGAGAAAAAGATAGACGGATGAAGAAAGAGAGAGAGAGTAAGAGATAGATGGATAGAGATGAAGATTGAGTGCAGAAGAAATATACAGAGAATGAATGGGAGATAAATATACAGGTCAGAAGAAAGAGAGGGGGAGAAAAATAGAGAAGGAGGGAGGGATAGACAGAGAGAGAAGAAAGGTAGAGGGAGAAAGAGAGAGTGTGGTGGCTAGGCAGAGAGAGAGAGAGAGAGAGAGAGAGAGAAAGATGGCGGAGGAAGGAGGTAGGTGAAGGAAGAAAGGTACGAGAGACAGAGACAATGAAAGAGAAATACAACGTAACCTTCTCTTACAATAATCTAATTTTTTTTCAAAAATATACTTTGGAATTCAATGAGAAATACTTGTAACTACTCAACGCTATCAATTAAAAGTTGGTCTGAGGTTAAGACGTGTTTAATCTTTCAAATTTCTAAAATGGTGAGAGATCATTCTCTTAGAACAAAATTAAAATTTTACGAGCAAGCGATTTTTGCAAAAAAGATATTTTATATTTAAAAAAAATGAAAACTGTAAATAAGAAATTTTGAAAATTTGGACGAAGAGGTCAATTTTTCCTTTAGAAAAATATTCTTAAAAGCAACACGAATTCTGTTTTGAAAGGTAGGAATTGTTTAGGCGGGATTTTTATTCTCAATTGTCAACTTTCGTCCACATGTTAGACAAACTTTTATTTAGGCACTTCCACTGAATTTTCAAAGATTTAATATGAATTTAAAAAATGAAAAAAGCATTCTTGGAACTTTCTTTTTCGCTTTAATAGAAATATAAATGTTTAAGTTTACTATTTCTAGTATAGTGTATTTCAAATAGAAATTTTCGGATGAAAATTTAATTTCTCTAAATTTCCTGAAATTAAGTAAATGGATAAAAAATTAAAAAAGAATAATTTCATTTAAGTCTTGAAAGTGCCATTAAAATCCGACAATTATTTGATTTTTGTTAGAATTTCCAAATCAAAGTGTTTTTCACTTGGAAAAATGTGCTAAAACACTAATCGTAAATATTAAGAAGACCGCTGACGTAAAAAAAAAAAAAAATCCAAAATTTCGAATCATTAAAAAAAATTTCGAATCATTAAAAAAAATTAATAAAATAATAAAAATAATTTGGTCTTTCTTCAATAATAATACAGACACTTGGACGATAAAACTTTATTTTTATTAAGTTTTGGGACCTTATTTCATCATGCTACGCTGTTTTTTCAGCGAAGATGTGGAGGTATCTACTTTTATTGCGTACAATACTCGCTGTAATATGAAACACATTGGAAACGAAGAAAAAAAACAAAGGTAATGCATAAAGATTTTTTTTTATCTCTTCTGTATTTTAAATAGTAAAGTAGGAAGAGACAGTAATTTCTCTGATGGGAAATGTTCACAGATTCCTTATTTTTTTTAATGACATTTATTCTTGTTGTCTTCCGCCTTCTTTGCGTGCCTCGTCTTCCGTCTGTTGTGTGAATTTGAGAAAACTGCTTCCCCGAGACATTAAGGCCGAAAAGAAAGAGGTGAAGAAAAGTTGAAAAATAAATGAAAACAAAAACCGGCTTTTAACTTTGCAAAAAAATAGAGATCATGTTTTTCTTTCTTGGCGCTCACACACAGAGAAAAAAAAATATGCAAGCACGTTCAGAGGCACACATCGATATGAAGGCACACGCTTAGAAGAAATTGCAAAAGGAAATCTTTCTGAAATTGGTCCAGAGTACGAAAAGTGCTAAACCTTTGTCAACCGAAGGCAGTGACGGTAGGAAGAGAAAGAAGAAAAAAAAACTTGGAGAGCGACAGTAAGTGTGATACGTTGGGAGTAGGAAGGGAAGAGATATACAAGGAAAAGATAGAGAGATTATGAGGAAGTAGTGGGATTGAATATATACGAATGAAGTCAAAGTTCCTTTGGCCTGCCTGCGTTGGTGCCTTTCTTTCTTTCTTTCTTTCTTTCTTTCTTTCTTTTAGTCTGAATATTAAAAGGATTTTCTTTCTTTCTTTCTTTCTTTCTTTCTTTCTTTTAGTCTGAATATTAAAAGGATTTTCTTTCTTTCTTTCTTTCTTTCTTTCTTTCGTTCTTTCTTTCTTTCTTTCTTTCTTTCTTTCTTTTAGTCTGAATATTAAAAGGATTTTCTTTCTTTCTTTCTTTCTTTCTTTCTTTTTTGTCTTAGTCTGAATAAGAAAATGATTTTCTTTCTTTCGTTCTTTCTTTCTTTCTTTCTTTTAGTCTGAATATTAAAATGATTTTTTCCTTTCTTTCTTTGTCTTAGTCTGAATAATAAAATGATTTTCTTTCTTTCTTTCGTTCTTTCTTTCTTTCTTTCTTTCTTTTTCATACGATATGCGCAAGTTGAGCGGTAATTAGTACCCTCCTCTAATTATGAGTTACGGTCAGAAATAAAAAGCCGGTGGTGGTAGTTCGATTTAGATGTCCAGGCGCGTACACCTTCAACTGTCACCAGACAGGCATATCTTCGGTTTAATCCGGACGAGAAGAAGAATCGAACACGCCACTGCCTGTCACATATTAAAAAATATAATAAATAAACCGGAAGAAAGTAACAGCAGCCGTTCACCAGATTCATATTGTAGTCGAAAATGGGTTGGCAAGAAAAGAACGCGTGTGTCGGAAACTGAGACGCATTTACCAACTGTCAGGATAATTTGAAAAAATTGATGATTTATTCTCCCTGTTAAAAACAATAAAAAACAATTTTGTTGTTTTAATTAAATTGTCTGCTGTCTATTGCTACATACGTGCCTTTTTCTCACCCCCCATGAGTCTTTTTATTATTATAATTATTTGAAAGTATCTAAGCCTCTTTTTTTTTCCTTTTAAGGAACTCAAGGTATTTTTAGGTATTCATTTTGTGCGATAAAAGCGTTTTCCTAAATAAAAATAGAATATTCGCATAACGCGTGATCATATAAATTTACATATTTTCTGCTCTGGTTAACGAAAAGGGCTCTGAGGCATTTGCAGATGTCACAAAATCCTTCCCCGCGAATATTCCGCCAAGGAACGGAGGTTTTGGCGAAAATTAAATGACTGACAGAAGGGGAGAAAATAACGAGTGTAAGAGAAGCAAACGACAGGAATGCAGACGAAATAAATAGAAAAAGATGAAGTTTAAAAAAGTAAATAAAGAAATAATGACGACAGTAAAAAGATGATAGAGCCGAACCTGACAAAGCAGGAATTATCTTAGAAAGTATTTCAATCGAAACAAAGAAGGACAGAAAAAAAGAAAGAGTGTAAGTTGGAATTTAAAAGAAAGAAAAACAAGATGTGAAAACAGACGATAAAAAAAAAAACACCAATAATAATAAAACAAATGGCGGATGACGGAAGCGTTTCTGAAAGTGAGAAGGGAGAAAGAATAACAAAAGTTTAAAAAGGAGGAAAATGTAAAGAAAAAAAAATAATAAAGAAAAATAATGGATGCGGGAAGAAAATAGGAATAGAAAAAAAAAGAAAGAAATAAGATAAAGAATATACATTAGATATAAAAAGGAAAGAGAAAAACGAAAGAAAGATTAAAAAAGAAAAAAGAGAAAGTAAAGAGAAAGATAAACTGAAATGAAAAAAAGAAAAATAGAAAGAAAAAAAGAAAAACGTTTGAAAAATGAATTAATGAAAAAGAAGGAAAAACGAAAGAAAGAAAAAAGTTTGAAAAAATAAAGGGAGGGCGAAAGTTATTAAAGAAAAGGTTTGAAAAAGTATTAAGGAAAAAGAAAGAAAAAGAAAGAAATTAAAAGAAAAAAGAAAGAAAAAAGGAAAGGTTTATAAAAAAGAAAAAAGAAAGAAAAGTTGTTTAAAAAAGAAATAAGGAAAAAAGTAAAAGAAAAAATTGGAAAAAAAATTTTAAGGAAAAAGGAGGAAAAACGAAAAAAAAAAGACTTGAAAAAAATTAAGGAAAATGAAAGAAAAGCAAAAAGAAAAGTGAGTAAAAGTTTGAAAAAAGAATCAAGGAAAGAAAAAGAAAAAAGTTTGAATAAAGAATTAAAGATAAAGAACGAAAAAGAAGTATAAAAAGAATAAGATTTGTAAAAAAGGAAAAAAGAAAGAAAAAGAGGAAAATGTTTGAAAAAGCAAGCATCAGAAAGAATGACAGAAAGATAATCACATTACTTGCATAGTTTGTACCTCCCAACCCTAACGTTTAAAATCTTTTTAAATATCTATTTTGTCTATTTCCGATGAATCATTGTAAATTCCGGATTCACAGATCAAACGGATATTTATTATTTTCTGAAAATATATTAATCATAACGACATCGTGAATATTTTCTCTTTGCTTTTAATAACAGACTGTCTGTATTTTTTCGATTGGGATTCACCACCACATTCCTTTAGCGGTTTATATAAATCGTTTTACTTTCTTTTTCGTCTGGAGCCGTAAATCTTTTCCTATGCGCGCGTATGTATATATATATATATATATATATATATATATATATATATATATATATATATATATATATTGAATGTATTTTGATTCGACATTATTCTTTTTATTACGATAAGCAATATTTTCTAGTGGGTACACGTATTTCAATTGCTATCCATGTTTTTTTTTTATTTATTGTACTATCTCAAATTTTTTTATACTAATAAGAAATATAAACACACACACACACACACACACACACACACACACACACACACACACACATATATATATATATATATATATATATATATATATATATATATATATAATATTTTATTACATTCAACCGATAAGTTTTTATTGTATTTTTTCCAATTTTCGAAGAATTTATTGCATATCCTGATAAAAAACAGTAAAATGTTGATTTTTTTTAAAAAATCTGTCTATATCTTTGAGATGAAGTATTATGATTACTTACATTATTTACATTATTCGGGCAGTTATCCTCATCTTCACTGCCATATTCACAACGTTTCGTCCATTGTACGATCCGGCCTTCTTCAGGACATATGTGGATAAAGACGTTGGTTAGATCGAGTGACTAGTCTCAAAGAGTTGTGAGTTCAATACCAGGCCACAGCAGTGGTGAACCAAACATGGAGAGTTGAATTAAAGAGAAATAACTAAGACATCCGGCAGAGGCATGGCACGTGGAACTAGAACAATCTACACTGGTGGACGAGATAAAGGTTTCGATTCGAAATTCCAATCATCCGAAGAAGGCCGGAGCGTACAACGGCCGAAACGTTTTAAATATGGCAATGAAGATGAGAATAACAGTCCGTATAATGTAAATGTAAGTAATTATTTAAGGACTTTTGATTCTCTCGGCCAGTTTTAAGAACTAAATATTTTCAGTTGGCTAAAATTAAACAGATGGACTTTTGGTTAAATTTAATTCTTTATAATATATATATATATATATATATATATATATATATATATATATATATATATATATATATATATATATTGTATATTTAGGCAGCAATTCTTCTTTCATACACATTTAATTGAATACGACAGATAAGGTGCTTTTATTTAGTTTTTTATACAATTTCTCATGCGATCTAATAATTTTTTTCTTTTCGGATGATAAATTACAGTGAGGTGAAACAAGTATTTGGACAGTAAAAAAAATGGATGTGCATTTATAATTGTTTTACGAATATATTGTAAGCTTTAGACAATGCTTTTCTTTCAATATATGATTCTAAATCCATTTTTTTTACCGTCTAAATACTTGTTTCACCTCACTGTATATAAAAACTGTCCGAATGTTCTTTTTATCTGAGCGTTTTCGTCTATACATTTAGCCATTTTCAAGGATTAAATATTTTAACTGTTAGATAAGAAATAGCTTGTTGTATGTATATTTTATAATCCGAAAAGAAAATTTATTAGATCGCATTAGAAATTGTTTAAAAAACTAAATAAATTCAGCTCGTCTGTCGTATTCAATGAAATGTGCATATATATATATATATATATATATATATATATATATATATATATATATATATATATATATATATATATATATATATATGTGTGTGTGTGTGTGTGTGTATATAAAAAAAAAAAAAACAGTAATGTATATAATCCGGTTTTCTTATAGATAATTTTATTTTTACAAAATAGTGCTCAATGTAAATTTACAGAGCATAATATTATAAATTAATTAATAGAACTGTGTAGCGGAAAAAAACATATTTTAAATCAATTAATTTATAATTATATATATATATATATATATATATATATATATATATATATATATGAGACAGAGTGAACACTTAGGCCAACTCCGAATGGTAATATTGATTCATGCTTGAACACAATCAGCATGAAACAGACTGTCCCCACTCAGTGTCCACTTTTATATTTACACAAGCTTTATATATATATATATATATATATATATATATATATATATATATATATATATATATGGTGTATAAAAAATACTTTTACAAACTTTGGTGGTGGTTTCCGCACACCAAAGTAAGGACAAAAGTCCATATAAATATGTTCGTTTTTGGGTTATTAAGTTTAACGTAAGTTTAAGTGAGATGGCGCTGTCATGTACACTGGGTTATATTTGTCATTCGTGTACATTTGTGGCTAGTCTGTCTTTAAACGTTTAACGTGTGCAGTAGTGAGTTAACTGGGTATTGTTCCGTTTAACAATGGCAGGATATTCAATTCGTGAGCAGATATATATAATTTTTTCATACGTCCGCGTGAATGGTAATGGACGCGAGGTTCCACAGCTGCATCAGATTGTGTTTCCAGACCATAGGCAGCCGAGTCATCCAACCTTTGCTGTTGTTTATCATCGCGTTGCTGAGACAGGATTCGCGGCACAACAAACTATGGATCGAGGAAGACTGAGGTCCTCTCGTACGCCAGACCACGACGAACATTCTATAGGCTGTCGGAGACGATCCAGGTACCAGCACACGTCCAGATGGCCCTAGCCTGTCGTACATCTCATAGTACCGCATAGAGTCTAATTCAAGAGCAGCTCTTGTATCCATATCATTTGCAACATATGCAGGCTCTTTTACTCCCTGATCACTCACCACAGGAGAGTTTTCCCGATGGTTTATTGCACAAACTGCCGATCCGTTGTTTGTCGCTTCAGTCTTGTTTACGGATGAGGCGACATTCGAAAGAGATGGAAAAACTAATTTACACAAACAACATTTGTGAGCGGATCGGAATCTCCATAATACAATAGTTTAGATACAAGCATCAATTTACGATTAATGTGTGGGTTGGAATTGTAAGTGACTGTCTGGTAGGTCCATATGTTCTCCCAGCATATCTTACAGGTTCTGTCTACAGGGACTTTATTTCGAACACAATTACCCCTGCTAATACGAAAACGCGTGTGGTTCATGCATGGTGGGACTCTAGCATATTTTAGTCACATTCTTCGCAATGAACTGGCTGTTATCTACCATGAAAGATGGAGAGGTAGGGCAGGACTGGTTCCATGACTTGCATCTTACCCCGACCTCAATGCTTTTGATTATTATCTGTGGGGCCACGTAAAACAATTGGTTCATGCAGCAGACATTAATAATGCAGAGAGGCTTCATCAACGTGTCATGGGGGCCTGCGAAACCATTCGACACCGTCTGGGAGTATTTAAAAGGGTCCGCCCGTCAATGATCTAACGGGTTCATGCGTATGTAGGCGCAAGCGGAGAACATTTGGAACATTTCAGTTGGTGTGTTGAGGTACAACGATGGTTTTTTGAACATGTTTATATCGACATTTTACCTTGTTTTGGTATCAGGAACCCGCTCCCAAAGTTTGTAAAAGTATTTTTGATACACCTTGTATATTATATCTCCGATATTGAGAACGATATATATATATATATATATATATATATATATATATATATATATATATATTTTCAATAAAGGTGCAATTAATTTACAAATTCATGAATTATTCATACAAAAACAAATACAAAGGTTAATGATTTAATTGGCGAGAAATCCATCGTCACGAAAAATTCAAATAATATACAAAACCCCCGAACCTGTTTATGAATGAAAAGATCCTTGTTTTTATAAATTTCTGTTGCATTAGTTCTTATTTTATTACAAGCTTTCGTCTGTTCCTACAGGCATCTTCAGGTATGGAATAGATGTTGTTCTTGTTTTTACTCTCAGTAATAAGAGGACAACGAAAATATATGTATTGTTGTATCCGAAAAATGCTATTAGAAATGAGTTATTGTTTTTGGAGCGTGCAGTAGCAACGCTGAGTTTGATTTTAAATTTTACAATTAAATCATTAACCTTTGTATTTGTTTTTGTATGAATAATTCATGAATATATATCACCATGGTTGATGTGTCAGGAAGAAAACTTCCTGATGTTATCGGACTGGAAGGGTCGATCCCAGTGTGCGACACCTTTGGAAAGTGCCTGAAAACCATACCACATGTTGACCCAAGCCTTGTGAGTGAAATTGGGTAGACGGATCCCTTAGGGACTGTTGATAGCTGTGCTAGCAAAAACTCAC